CTTTCCAGAACCATGCGTTTTCCCCGTTTGGATCGGGGGGACTCTCGGGCCGTCTTCGGGCCCCCTTGAGCCATCTGGGGCCCGCTTAGGAGCGTCTTGGGCCGTCTTGGAACGATTTCGGCAGCATCTTGCGCCATCGTGGACTTTCGAAAGCTTGACCATGCGAAACCGCTCAAACGCTTCCAGGGGATCGTTTTGGTATCTGTACCTTGCGTCCATCTCGGGGATCCTCTTGGAGCTCTCTTAGGACTTCTTGGCGACTCGTGGGTCGTCTAGGAGCTCTCTTGGGCCGTCTTGGAGCGCTCTTGGGCTGTCTCGGTGCCACCCCCTGGAGCCGTCTTGGCAATCATTTCGGCCAGTCTTATACCCTATTGAACAGCTTGGGGCAATCTTGGGCCATCTTGGCTATGTCGATAACATGTTATGTGTTGAAGGTGTCCCTTACGAGCGCGCCAGTGTGAGCAAGGCCGAATACACGACGACGTCGACACCATCTCATTTTTGTGAAAGAGTGATGTCGGCACCATCTCAAATGTGTGAAGATTTCCCAAGTGAAATCGCCGCTTTGGGCAAGACCGTGACCAAGACGACGTCGACGACATTTAATCTTTCGTGAGGGCGTCCCCAACGAGATCGACATGCTGGACATGAGCGGTGCCGACAACATCAATTGAGTGAGGATATCCCGAGCGAACTCGTCAATGGTTGGGCGGAAGTGCGGCGTGTTAACGCCACCTTTTGGGCTATGTGTGCCGCCTTGAGGCCTTCCGAAATCGATCCTACCCAACACACCTCGATGTGTTGAGGAAGTCCCTCGCGAAATCACTATTTTGGCTATTCGACCTGGGCTGGCACGGGAACGGAAGGAGCGACTCAGGAACTCGCGAGAGAGGGCTCGTGGCACCCTTCGCTCTGGGGGGCCTTGGCGTTAAGAGCTTTTTTACGTCACCGTTCGCTCTTGGAGGCCTTGGTGTGAAATGCTTTTTCACGTCATCGTTGGCTCTTGGGAACCTTGGCTTTAAAAACTTGTTACGTCACCGTCCGCTCTTGAGAGCCTTGGTGTGAACCTGGGGAGCCTTGAAGTTACGTCACTTCTCACTCTTTGGAGCCTTGGGGTTAAGAGCTGTTTGCGAGCACGTTTCTATCGACTGGCGATACCGGCCGTTAGCGGGGATGCCCCCCCCTCACCACCACCATCATCAACATCATCGTCACCATCATCATCCTCATCATCATCATTATTATTATCATAATCATCATCGTCACCATCACCGTCATCGTCATCGTCATCGCCATCACCACCATCACCACCAGCAGCAAGACGATCATCAGTATCACCATCATCGTCATCCTCACCATCACCACCATCATCATCAGCATCATCATCCTCATACTCATCATTATCATCACCATCATCGTCATCGGCATCGTCATCGTCATCATCATCATCATCACCACCACCATCATCATCATCACCATCATCATCATCATCATCGTCATCGTCATCGTCATCATCATCATCAACATCATCACCCTCATCATCATCAGCATCATCATCGTCACCACCACCATCAACATCGCCACCATTACTACCAACCCATCACCACCATCATCAGCATCGTCATCATCATCATCATCATCATCATCATCATCATCATCATCATCATCATCATCCTTATCATCCCCATCATCCTCAGCATATCAGCATCACCATGATTACCGTCATCATCATCATCATCATCATCATCATCATCATCATCATCATCATCATCATCATCATCATCATTGTCGTCATCATCATCATCGTCGTCGTCGTCGTCGTCATCACATCATCAACATCATCAACCTCACCTTGCTGGTCAACATCACCATCATCTCTGCTCTCCCCTCCTACCCGCTTGCGGCCTTCTTGGACTGATATATGGATATTGGCCCGCAGACGGCGAGGAAGGGTCCCTCAAAGACTCCAGCGAAGGCCTGGACACGCAGAATCCTCAGAGATCCCAGAGGCTTCCCAGAGAGCCCTCCCGAGTGCCCAAGGGGACTCCGAGAGAGTCCCAAGGCAGCCGAAGCACCCCAAGACGGCCCAGAAGCCTTCCAGGATAGCTCAATGGGGGCCCCACAGAAGCAATCCAGTTCCCATGTTCATCCTGCGGGGCAGCCCTGTCCCTACCCTACACCCAAGGGCTGTCTTCTGCCCTCCGCCCACCTCCTGCTACTTACTTGGCGAGTTATATAAACATACATCGTCATTACCATCACCATCACGCGTGGCCGTTTTAACCCGCCTGGAAGTTCAACCCGCTTGGCCGTTTGAGCTCGCCTGGCCGTTTTTACCCGCCTGGCCATTTCAACCCGCCAAGCCTCTTCAACACGCCTGGGCGTTTGAACCCGCCTGGCCGTTTTGACCTGGATGTCCACTTCAAACCGCTTGGCTACCTAGGCCGCGTGACTGATTTCGTCCGCACGGCCATTTTAACCCGCCTGGCCGCGCTGACATCCTTGGCGGTTTTTACCCCTTCTAGCCGTTTTGAGTCGCCTGGCCGTTTGCAATTGCTAGGCTGCTTTAACACGCCTGGCCGTTCGAACCCGTCTGGTCGGAATAACCCAAGTCGGAGACCAAGACGACGTCGACAATCTATAATCTGTGTGAGGATATCCCTAGTGGAAACGCCGTTTTGCGCAAGAGAGATGTCGACAACACCTCATTTGTGTGATGATGCCCCTAGCGAAATCGCCATTGGGGCAAGACCGAGGTCAAGACGATGTCGCAGCATTTCATTTGTGTGAGGATGTCCCTAGCGAAATCACCATTTGGGGCAAGCGCGGTGTCGACAACATCCTCCTTTTGTGAGGATGTCCCTAGCGAGGTTGTTTTTTTCGCGAGAGTGGGTCGTCTTATAGCAATCGTGTGGGGCTATGTTGGGCCCTCTTGAGGCCTTCCAAGAGCGATCCCAATCCATATCATTCTGTTGAGGACGTCCCGAGCGAAACAGCACTTTTGGCAATTAGAACCCTGGGGCTGCACATGACAACCCCCTCAAGATCACCCTAATTTATTTGTCCCGACGAACGCATTGCACGCTACGCGCGCTTTCCGTCATCCACCGCACCCTTGACGTAATCACACTTGTGGTGTCCGAAACCTGGATAGCGATGCGCCAGCGAGGCTCTGCGACACTCCTTCGACGGAGCCCTGGCAGCTCTTGGGAAACATGATGGGCAGCTTGCCGGCACACGCACTGGGCAACAGTTTGAAAACACCCTTCCCGAGCACGCTGCAAGCTTAGGCACGCTTTCACGGGGATCCTTGACTGACGCCAGAACGACCTCTGGGGCTATCCTTGCCAGCCGGCGTCTAATCTCCAACCCTAGTAGCTCTCCAAGGAGCTGTACGGCCTTTGCAGCCTTTCCAAACTGGTGGCCGTCGACTCGACCCGCTCGGGGGACCCAAGCGCAGAGAATCCCACCAGCCCTTTGGGCGCATTGTGGTCAAACGAGTTCTTTTTCTCCTCTTCCAAAACCCTCTTCCCCTCGGGCCCCCTCCCCTCCCCTCCCCGACATTTCGTTTTGGGGAGGGGGGGGGGCGCGATCTGTCAGAGGGTCCTTTCTCGCCCGTGATGGCTCCAAGAGGGCCTCCGATGCTCCAAAATGCTCCCCCAAGGCGGCTCAAAGATAGCCGAAGGTGGCTCAATATAGTTTCGGACATATCTCCAAGAGGCCCGACAAAGGCCACAAGACGGTTCCAACTGTTCTCGGAGCCCCCCTGGGGACCTCCCAACGATGCCCAGATCAGTCCCAAACAATGGAACATCGCTGACGTGTGCCTTCTCGCCCTTTCGCTTCCGATGCGCTTTTGAGGCCTCAAGATGGCCCCAAGATGGCCCAAGAGAGCCCCAAGAGGGGCCCAAGGCCCCCAGGCCACCTGGCCCCCGAGCATCCGCCCCTCGGAGCACCAGCCCCCTTCGCCCCAGAGCTTTTTGTTTTCGTCGTGGTTCGTTCGTTCGTGGTGGTTCGTCCCTGGCCCTGGCCCTGGCCCGCGCCCCCCCCCCGCACCCCCCCTGGCTCGAGCCCTGGGTCGAGGCCCCAGCCCCCCTGGCCCCCGAGCATCCGCCCCCCGGAGCACCCGACCCCTTCGCCCCGGAGCTGAGCGCCCCAAGAGCGCCCCCAGAAGGCCCCAAGAGGCGATTTTGATGGCCCCTAGAGGGGGACGGACATTTAGGACGGAGATGGCCTCAAGAGGCCCCCCAGGGCTCCCAAAAGGGCCTTAAGAGAGTTCCCATTGGGCCCAAAGACGGCCCGACGACGATTCCAAGAGCGCCCAAGAGCGCCCCGAGAGCGTCCCACGAGGGCTCCACGAGGAGGTTTGCCTACTCCTCCTCCTCCTCCTTCTCCTCCTCCTCCTCGTCCTCTTCCTCCTCCTCCTCCTTCTCCTCCTTCTCCTCCTCCTCCTTCTCCTCCTCCTCCTCCTGCTCTACCTCCTCCTCCTCCTCCCCCTCCTCCTCCTCCTCCTCCTCCTCCTCCTCCTCCACCTCCTCCTCCTCCTTCTCCCCCTCCCCTCGCCCTCCCGCGTGCCCCAGGGATGGCCCGGAGAGGCCCTCCAAGGCCACCCCCTTGCTCCCAGAGGTCTCTCTGTTCATCCTGGTTGGCCGCTTTGTTTCACTATGTGTGTCTCTTCGTCCCTTTTCCTGGCAACTCTCATGGGCATGGTTTTGAACAGGCTGGGGGGGAAACCGCGAAGCGTAACGAACGTCTCAAAGCCCTCGTCTCAGACGTCCGCAGTGGTCCTCCTACATGGTGCCCAAGATGGCTCCTGGCGCCCTTCGATGGCTTCCAGGATGGCGCCTGAGAGCTTCACGATGCCTCTAAGCCGGCCCTAAATGCCTCCAAGATGGCTTCAGGTGGCTCCCACGCGGCCCTTCCCCCACTCTCTGCCTGGAAGGGCTGGGCAGACGCCAGCCCTGCCCACCGCCACCGCCCGCTGCGGCCCCACAGGCGGCCTCTCAGCGTGCATCTTGTGCTCGCTGAGGGCATCGGCCTCGATGTGCGCGAAAGTCCTGCGTGGCTCAGATCATCGCCCAGCTGCCGTCTACGTTTTCGACGTTGCCAACGCACTGGAAAAGGCAACTACCCTTACATCCAACGTCGTCTATGTTTTTCAACAAGTGCCCCCCGGCCTCCCGATCCCATCCCCAAGGCACTTTTTTCCGTCACCCATCGGTTGCAGACGGCGGGGCGCCGAAATCGGAATACGATGACGGCATTGAGACCATCACGACACCAGCCGGCACCAGCGGTCAGACCGCCGTGTGGGGGAAGGGGGGCAAGGACGCGCTTTTTGTTGTTGTCAGAGGCCGCCGCTATGCTGACCTCAAGAGACTACAGGGCAGTTTATTACATAGGATTTTAAACGTGTATGATTTCTAATACATAATGAACTTATGACTAAATTTACGCACGAGCTCATCGTTGTTTTTAATACTAAATCCCTGCATTTTTTACACATGATCCGCACGCGGAGCATGGATTAAGAACGGCAATGTACAACCATCGAGGACCGACTCTTTTGGGTCGCAGCGGCGCGGATCCACGCCGCGGTCGGCGGCAGCCGAAGGGGCACCGCGGGGCCCGAGTGGGCACAGCAAGGGGAAGGAACGGCGCGAACGGAGGGGGGGGGGGGAGCGAGCATGCAGCTCTTGCGCGTGCGCGCTGGAGCGCAGGCTTGCACATCGGGGGGATGTCGAAGGCATCGAGGACTTGCAGTCAGGACGGAAAAGGCTGTCGTCAAGCAGGTGCGACCTGCGGGCGCCACCTCGCGCCCACGCCCCGCCACCGAGGCTCCCAGGGACGCCCGAAAGAGCCCCGACAAGGCACCCCCAGAGGAGCTCGTGGGGGCCCTCCCCACGAGGGCCCCGAGGCTGATGCACGCATTTTTTTCTGCGCGAAACCAGTGACCGCCTCGTCGTCAAGCGCTGTATGCTGCCACAGCGGAGCTGCACCACAACGGGAGACAGGCTCCGTACTTCGTAGCCCTAACAGTCCAGGGAGGTCGTTGCCTGAACCTCTCACGTTGGATGCCTTGAAGCTGCGGAGTGTGGCGCGGCCCTGATCATCTGTGGCGGCCACGGGCGTGCTCACCTGATGGGTGGACTGCTGTGTCCCTCTGCCGAGACCTGAGATGCTCAGGGGCTTGCTCATGAGGAGTTGCTGTGGATGGTGCCCTGCTTCGTCGGCGCGTCGGCGCAGCTGGCGCGCAAGCGTCTCTCCCGTGAGGCTAATCCAAGCACCTGGATCTACGATCACACTAAGCTCACTGGTGGGTAGCTGAGTGCGGCTGTCATGCGCCTGGCGGGATCGCTGGCGGGCCGCCAAGGGTAAGTCGGCATCTCGGCTCTACCATCTTGTGGCGAGCCTGGAGGTGGCTGCTGTCCCCGCGTGGATGCCTGCGAGCTGAGGCTGATTGCCTGCATTTGCGCCCCCTGAGGTGTTGTTGGTGCCTTGTCCGCAGCTTCTGTAGGACGTGTTGTGGAAGCAACGTGGATGCGCGAGACTCCTCGCGCTGCCAATGGTGGCCTGCACAATTAGCGCTGCAAGAATGGCGTCCGCGTCGGGTCGCCTCGCTGTTCGGCCTCAGTATACGAACAGCTGAAAAGTTTTCGAGGCTCGTGGCGGCCCACCCGTCGATGACAACCACGTCGAGGTCGAGGCATTCGTCCGGGCAGATGCCGCACATGGCGTCGCTAGAGCTCTTCGGCATCGATGAGCTAGAGGAATTCCGGCGCGGGGTAGAGCTAGTTGGTCGACCCGGCCAAAACGGACAAAGTGATGACTTTCGGTCGGTTTTGCTGAGATTTGGAAGATATTCGACCATTCATACCTCGTAGAGCTCTTCTGGGACGCACAGAAACATACTTATACTATATGTCCGCCTTGGAGGCGCGCATCCGACCCGAACACATAGTATACCCATCTTGTAGTATATCGTTTCCCGAGCGGTATGGCCAGAAAGCGCCCGCCACGACGCATATACTATAAGATTGCTCGGTGCGCGCGTCGCCCCTTGGGGGGGGCGACGCACACATAGTATAAGTATGTTGGGGTGATGCCGATCTTCGTCCACATCCGTGCCAGCAGCCTGCGATTCGGCTCGCAGGCTCTCGGGTGGAGGTGGCGGAGCAGCGGCGGGGGGTGCAGTCATGGCGAGCCTCGGTGTCTCCCGGGCGCGCTCGTGGCGGCGAGCGCGGGGATGCTCCACGCGGGCACCGCGGGCGACTGCGTGGCCGGCCAGGAGGCGGCGAGGCGCGCCGGGATCCCAGGGTCTCGATCACGCACGACATTTGCTCGCGGGGCCGTGGTCGGCAGTTCGGTGAGGTGCTCGTGCCCTCGACCCTGTGCTCAAGTAGGAAGGCACCAACTATACACCAACACCGATCCTGGCCAGGATCTCCCTGGGCCCAGGATCGGTGTATACGCCCTCCTGCCTTGCGCAAGAAGGCATATACACCGATCCTGGGCCCAGGGTGATCCTGGGCCAGGATCGGTGTTGGTGTATAGTTGGTGCCCTCCGATCAAGACATGGGGGGTCCGCTCGCGCCGGCTTTTCCAGGGCCCAGCGAACTGGCCGGAGCCGCCAGCGCGAGACGTCTCGCTCGCTGGTCGTCAGGGGACGGCGTCCCCTGACGACCGGCGAGCGAGACTTCTCCTGTTTTGTGCTTGTGTTGTTTTTTTCCTGTTCTGAGGCGCGAGCTGCCCCGTCGGCCGAATCGAGCCCCCCCCGCGCCGTGCTGCTGATCGATCGAGGCGACTCCGCGGGGCCCCCAAGGAGCCTGCGCTCGCTTTTTGGACGCCCGAATTGGGTACGGAAAAAATTGGTACACTGCCCAACAACACATGTTGCCCCAGACCAGCAGCGGCCGCTGTTGGGCAGGCGGCCTCCCGTCTCGAATGGGCACAGGCCGCGGCGGCGTGGACAGCGAATCCTGTTCAAGATGAACAGGAACTGCTGTTGGGCACTGTACCCATTCTTTCCGTACCCACGTCGTTCGTGCCGACCTTCCGTCCGCGCCCTTCCCTCTCCTGCCATGCCCAGGCCGGCCCCGTAGTCCCCCTCGGCTGCCTCCGATCGCGGCGCGGCTCCGCGCCGCTGCGACCCCCCCCCCAAAAAAAAATGAACAGGAACTGCTGTTGGGCACTGTGCCCATTCTCTCCGTGCCCATATCGTTCGTGCGCTCGCGCGGCAGCGCCTGCTCCGAGGCGCGGCGGGCCTGCCGACGCTGCCGGCCCAGGGGGGCTGCAGGGGCAGAGAGCCGGGGGGGGGGGGCGGCGCGAGTGCCGGCAGGGGAGCTCCCGGCGGAGGAGCGGCAGTGCTGAGCTGAAGGGGCCCTGGGACACGCAAAGAAATTCACACAAAAATAAAAGGATTCCCCCTATGTTCCCATACTTTCTGGGTTTTTGTCTTCCCCCCCACTTCCCATCTTTTCCCACATGTTCTGGAGAATCGACGATTCATTGTGTCTGTGTGTTTTTTCCCTCCAGATGAGCACTTGAGGCGTCTGTGGTGTGGCGGGGTCGGTGTAAGAGTGGCTCTGGTAGGGGGCCACATGCGAGCCCTACCCCTGCCCCCCACGACTTCTGAGGGGGAGGGTGGGGTTCACTTCGCTTGGGAGCTCACGAACGAAGTGAAGCCCCCCCCCCCCTCAGAAATCGTGGGGGGTAGGGGTAGGGTTCGCATGTGGCCTCCTATCTGGGCGGTGGCCTGTTGCGCCTCCGGCCAAGAACCGCGGGCTGACTCGGGCATCTGCCAGGAGCAATCGGAAGCAGGCCGCTCTGGAGGTAGGCCAGGTCCCGGCCCGGGCCCCGACTGCGGTGGTGGAGGAGAGTCGGTGGCCATGAAGGCGACTCGTGATATACCAGAACAAGATGCAGCAACCAGGGGGGCCACCGATGCGCCCCGAGCCGGCGCGGCCGTCAGAACTCGGGCCAGCTCCTTGGGCACCTGCGCTTCCAGAGCCAGCCTGTGGGTATTCAGCTCTGATGTGGAACTCTGAGCTGTAGATGCTGCGCGTCGCCTGCCCGTCGTAGCCTCGCGAGTTCCTCTTGTGGCCCCTGCCTGCGCCGCTGAGCCACTTTCCTTAGGCATTGACAGCGCCTTCGTAGAAGACAATGTCGACTTGGTCGTCGGTCAGCTGGGCCAGGGAGCTGTGCTCCTGAGCCCCCTTGCCTTTGCCCCTACCTTTGTCCTTGAGAGATTGTCCATTTATCTCGATGAGTAATCTGACTTTTCTGGTGGGTGTGTTCACATGGCGTCACCGTTGTTGTTTGTGGTGCTTCATCTGCCTGGAAAGCTGGGTGTCGATCTGGGGGGTCGGCCTTTGCACTGGTCTGGCGAACCGTCGATAGCTTCTCCAATGTCTGAGCTGGCGTCGGAGCAGGTTCCACTTGCGTGCCCATGGCAAGCATGAGCTTCATTATCGGGCTGCCATGCGGCGGCAGGGAATGTGGTCCGCGGCGGCGCGGTGCTCGGCCGAGAACTGCCGGCGTGGGTTGAGGCACCTCCGGCGCCTGGGATCCGGCGGCGCTCGCAACTCAGGAATCGCGCACCTGTTCGTGCCAGGGGTCTGCTAGGTGCGCGCCGTGTTGGGTACTGTTGTCGGTGGTCATGCCTGCGACGCTTCCGAAGGATGATGGCGCGCAAAGGGCGCTTGCGACGTTGTTGGGCGCGTGCTCCAAGATATGGCCCACGCGCCTAGGCATCGGCGAGAGACTGTTGAACACAGGTTCTGTTGCCGCAAGGCTTGAGCAGCGCCATGAATTGGCTAGCCGTTTCGGCGGACCGCTCGGAGGAGCAGCCAGCTGTAGCCTTCCCGTACCGTCGCAGCTCCACCGTTGCGTGTCGCTCCGAATCGCAGTGTGAAACATCGCGAGAGCAACGCGTCGGTGGTCTCGTTGTGGCGCCTCGGAAACTCGAAGAGTTCTCGTGTAGTTTGCAGGCGTGACTCTT